AGAGCTCAATGTAAAAACCAAGCAAATATTAATTATATTAAGAAATAGACAACTTTAAGGGTTCATGTGATTATAATTTATTTCCTTAGGACTGGGATTTGGATCCTAATTCTTCAGTATGAAAATGGAGATCTTAAGAACAAAATCTTAGTCCTAAGTTAATAAATTAAAATCCCATGAACCCTTAAAGTTGTCCGTTTCTTAATATAATTAATTTATATATTTGTGTGTGTGTGATTGAATAAATGAATGGAAAACATATCAGATTTCCTACTTGTTCCTCAGTCAATCATTCTGTTGGATTTAATAATCTGTATTTTCAACACACACACAATATCCAACCCATATAGTCTGAAGATTATCTTCAAGCATGAAACAAACTGTTGTCAATCAGCATTGATCTTAATGTTCATTTTTATATTTGCACATACTCTCTCCCATATAGTGAACATGTTTAGCCCATAAATATAGCATAACTTAAAACTGTATGTTAGCATATATATTTTTAAAGAATTAATGGACTTATTTTTAATCTGCCATTTTTATTACTTCAAACATTATTATAATGGATACTCGCATTTTAAATAGATGCCCCATTTTTTTCTTTTTAGATAATACACACTGTTTAAAGTAAAAATAAAAAATGGGGAATCTATTTCAAATATATTTGTGTGTGTGTATATATATATATATATATATATATATATATATATATATATGTGTGTGTGTGTGTGTGTGTGTGTGTATGTGTTTAAAATAGAATATAGAATCCCAAGAAAGTTTTTAAGAAATTTGACAAATTTAAAAACGTTTCATTGAAACTAGATTTGATTACGCGTTTCACTTTTCTAGGTTTCATCAGATCCCAAAATGAAAGAAAGAAATGTGTGTATGTGTGTGCTTAAATAATACATCATAGTAGTTTTTCTCTAACCTGGCATTTCTTGTTATTAAAGAAAGAATGGAAAGAATTCAATTTATATATATATATATATATATATATATTATATATGACATCTCTTTAAGGGCATAAATATACTCATTTTAATAAATGTGAGAAAATAATTTTAATTTAAAACCAATCTATATAATGGTGTTTTAGATTGCTAACTAAAGCTGCCCAGTAAGGGATCTTGTATATAAATCAATTTATACAATGACACTTCTGCAAAATCAGTGCTGTTTTCAACCAAGCCCTCATCAAATGATGACCTTGGGTTCAGGCATAGATTTGGGCCCCCACTGTATGATTATTATTAATTCAAAGCATCCCTAGGATTACATTGGGATAACACCTGGCTTTATTATTTCTTTATCACATTGTGTGAATGCCAGGTCGAAGAAATGCAGAAGAAACTACTCTCAACCTTGAAGACTATTGCCTTTGATATCAACCAAAGATCAGATACATCAAGACTGAAGTAAGGATGACACTCCAGCATCTAACTACAGCTGGAGAAACATTAGTCATTCTACATCCCTCTCATATTAGTTTGATAGTTTGCCAATTCAAATGTCAACATGGCACTATGTAAGTAGAATGGGTCAAAGGTTGGAAGCATTATCAGCAAACATTTATCAGCCAATATTTGCAAGGGCAAAGTGGACATTAGTGCATGACCATAACTGGCATGGTGACAGATGGACATTTATTAAAAATCAACACTTCTAAACTAAGAAATGTTCTTATTACTGAGGAAGGCTAATTCTGAATTTCATTTGAAAGTACTGGAATCTATTTATCTTAAGTCCTACCAGCCATCTCTCTGTAAGTGAAAAGAGTGAGCTTAAATGTAATTGGCCTTTAACTGATCTCTATTTATTATATAACATTTGGTCTTTGGTATTCATTTTAATCATTGTTCTCGTCCTCAATTGAACTCTGATGAGAGAAGACCAATAAACCAATTAAGCTGCTTGTTTGTTAATTGTGTTTTGTTTTGACATGTGAGGTTTTATCACTGACTTATCTGCTCTCATACTTTAAGTTTCACAAAAACACAATTCCACTCATCAGGCTAAGATAAACCTATTGGACTCAATAATAGATATAATATTTACTTATTAGCGTGCACACACACACACACAATGACATTTCTTAATTTATCAGTATAAGAGCGTAATTATTGTTTTTCATGTTTCTTCTTTTTTTGACTTTATTATTATATGTAAAATTAAAGTTTCCCACTTTGTTGTTAATAAGAATCAAATAAATTCTCATATTCTCTATTAGAATTTAGAAAATGGTGATTTGTAAGCATTTTGTCACTAGAAAATGTAGTGAAAAGAGCATTCACTGAAAACATATTTGGATAGTTTCTAATTTGGGCAAGAAAGAAAACATTTTATATGAATAGAAAAGAACATTCATTGAGTTTACAACATACATATATACATATTTCATCCATGACAGTTTCCTTTAAGAAATAAATATTATTACCTTGCTTGATCTTTGGATCAAATGGTTGAAAGAATAACAGAGAAAAGCTCTTTTCAGGTTGAAGCTTTTCAGTGAAAA